AAGTCTTCACACCCTTCTCTAGGTATTGGCCGACAGGCCAACTCTCTCCCTGTCGCCCCTTGGGAAGTGGGGTCGCCACTGCACTATCGGCCGGGATGCCAGCAGTCAAAGGTAACACTTCCTTTTCCTCTACTTGAGGTTCGTTCATTATTCCCTCCAACATTTTCTCGACTTGGGCGAAGGCGTTCTCAACCATCTCAATTTGGAAGAGATTTCTGATGGTAGATACATTCGCAACACAGTGCAAATGAAGGTCAAGAAAGTTGCGATTCCGGCCAAGACAAAAAGGAGCTTGCCCGACTTTGGAACTTTGCATGCCTTTCTAGGAACTAGAGCTTGAGGTGCAATTGGGCGAAAAAAAGACGTCACCTTTCTTTTTGTAGAATATTCTCAGCCTTACCGTAGCTCAACGATGTGTGTAACAGTTACCTTAAGATTCCCTGTCGCACTTCAAACCGCCTGGCCTGGCGACGTGGTAAAATGTGTTTGCAGCCTCGGAGCTATCGTAGATCAGGGACCGCGACCGCAGGTCATCGCGGCCAAATAAGAAGGGACCTGACGTATCAGTGATGAGGCGGAGATGCGTCCCGGATAGACAGGTAGGGTCGAGTCCATCAGCCATGAACCTTTTTGAGACGATAACAAAATCAGTAGCCAGTGAAGCGTCGGGATACAGCCGCAAGATACAACCAAAGTGAAAGAATGATGGCGCCCAGCAGACGTCCTAACCATCAAGCAAATTGCCATCCCTCTTCTCCGCTCAAACTGCGGAGTTTTACTCTAGCAGACGAAGCACTGGTCGTTGACTCATGAAAGGAGCCGGGTAAGCCATAGCCAGACGCTGTTCTGCATCCAGGAGAAAGAAATGACTCATGAAGGTAATTGTAATTGTCCAAGATAAACGGTCCGAAGCTAGTCGGCTATTGAGCTAGATCGGGTTGTTGAGCTAGATCGGGTTGTCGGCTGGCCAGATTTCTCATCAACTCTTGTCCAGCTTGAGTGAGATTTCTCATCCACTCGTGGAAGGGGGCTTCCGCATGGTGATAGAGAGCTGTACGCCCAGCAACAGTTCCCGGGAGTGACCCGTGTTCGTAGACACGGCCATCTCAATATTCAAGCTCGACCACAGTCCATGAAGGCAGATACACAACCGCGCGTACATTTGCTAGCGGTTCCAGCGCTTTAAGGGAGGCGACGTTGTCCGCATCTGTGGGAAATTCCATTTTTGGCCAGCGAAGATAAGAATAAGGGCACACACCGCACCCTAGTGTAAGAAGAACCGGCTTTGGCGGGTTGTCGGTCTCAATGCAGATGAACCAACCAGTTTGCGAGAACCTTTCATAATCACCGAACTTGTCGCAATCCACTGGGATTTTTCTTTTGTCGGAAAATGATATTTGCGGTCAATGTCGTCCCACAAATTGAAAGGAGCGGTGCCATTCATGTCTTGCTCCCCAGCCGCCTGGACATAAGCTTGTGGGGGATGCCGGGGCTCGCCTGGATCTGGATCTGCTGCCGGAGGTATGTGCTCTCATTGCTATGCGCTCTCACTGCTGAGCGCGGTGGCGAGGCGGCATCGTGGAGAGACCGAAACTGGTCAGCTGCACGGGCCATATAGTCTCGGGCCTCGCTCTCAAGCCTGACCAGCTTCGACTCCCACGCCGCATTGACAATCGCCACCTGCGCAATGGCAGTGAACTTCTTGTCCCACCGACCACGTTCCCCCTTCCCAACCCCGTTTTCTTTTTTGGCCGGGGCCCAACGAGAACGTCCCTTCCCGCGAACGGGATTTTCCTGGGCCTGCCGCTGTAGGTCTTCCAGGTCGTCGAACTTGCGCCGCCACTGTGCCCCATGCCACTCTTTCAGTTGAGTAGCGCCGGATGTTTCTAGCGTTTCCATTAATTGTAGAGGTAGGTAGTCTTTGTTGAGGAAAACAGGCTGGTATAGACCACTGGAGGCTCCAGTCCCGATGATTCGCTTCTCGATGAGATGATTTCTGTACATCTCGCTGCTGGGGCGGCAGTGGCCGATGGCTGCCATCTTCTAGGCTCTGGGTGTGCTTGTGAGTCTAAACTGCCATCCAGCATAAACCTCCTTGAGGCATTGGCGTGGAGCGCTGAGTCGCATACGAAGAGGGCTAGTTGCGGAGTCGGGGTAGTCGGGTAGATATCGACCCATGAAGAACTTTCCTGTATGCTTTGAACCTGAGGGAACAAGCGGGCAATGGCCATGATAGAAAAGGTCTGGTTCGGCACCCGCCTTGCACTATCCTACCTGATCGGTGCGAACTGATACGCGGACATAGCGGCTCATGTTAAGGAGGTGTCCGCAGTATACGTCGGGTCTGTCTGGTGTGCAAAGGCCTTTACGCTCGGCGGGCCTAGACGGCCTCCAATACAGCGTCGGTTTTGGCGGCATGATCGGACAACCTCAAGCGATTGTGCCACACCAGGCTCAAAGATCTTGATCATTCTTTTGTGGATTGGAACACGGGATGGAATAGACTATCCAGTCCCTTGTTATATCCTGCTGCTACAAGAACCTTGAGGCCGAGTCACGCGAGGGTCAGGATAATGCGCTTCGCGGTTCCGGTTTTTCCTGTGCCGGGGGCCAACGATGAGATTCATACCGCTAGGGATTGCGAAGGTTGACTTCTTTACCGCTTTGACCTGCGGTAGTCAAGCGGGACAAACTGCTGTGTTGAAGAGGTGAAGAAATTAGGAAGGAGTTGACGTGCCCAGCCCTGGAGGTGAGATGATAAGATGAGTTCAACCTTCCATGTTAGGTACCTGTGACTCGGAGGAAGACAAGAATGATCATACGGCCTTGACGTAAGACTGATAGTCTGATTTGGAAGATAATTGTTTTATGTTATTTTTGGATGTCTTTCAGTTGTCTTTCAGATGTCTTTTTCCATCTAACAAGGAAAACACCATTTTTATACCAAAAGGATGTGGGGTCTACATGGTCAAGATAAGATAAACCTTTTACTCCGTACCCCTCACTTGGATTCAATTCTCCAATTCCTCCCTAGGAAAAAATGAAGCCAGTTCACGAGAAAGCCGTGATAATAGGGATATCCGGGCCCTCGAGCAGCGGCAAGACGACCCTTGCGCGGTTACTGCAGCGCGTATTCTGCGGGGTGAATCTTAAGCCCAAAGACTCACGTCTGAACACGTTCATAATCCACGAAGATGACTTCTATTTCCCGGACGATAAGTGTGTATACCCCATTACTTCAGCTCCATGCATACACCCTCTCAAGTGAAACAATCCTCCGTTAACCCCAATATTAACCCCAAGCTCAAATCCCACACTAACAAACCCCAGAATCCCCTACACAACAACCCGCTCCGGCAACAGAATCCAAGACTGGGACACAGCCTCCGCAATCGATATCCCCTTCCTCTCACAAGCACTGCACTACGTACGCGAAAATGGGACACTCCCACTGCGGCTACGGAGCAAGGAAGACCAGAACGACGCGACCGATTCCGGCGTGCCAGACGAGATCGTGCAGGACTTGAGGGGTGTTGTTATTTCTCAGTTGCGAGAAGAAGCAGCGAAAAGCACCGAGAACCCGACTATTGCGTTCCTAGAGGGATTTTTGCTATTTGCGCCTCCCCGGTCCGAACCCGGGGCAGACGGACATGTCCTCCGTTCCGTCCATGACGCTATACATCTTCATCTCTTCCTGCCTGCGGCGTATGAGCTTGTTAAGGCTAGACGCGAGGGGAGGAGTGGGTATGTGACTATTGGGCCGGCGCCGGAACCGCCAGTGCAGAGTTCTGGAGATGGGGGAGATGGTGGGGATGGACAGACGAGGACGGAGGTTGATCTTGATGCTGAGGATGATCGGCCACCGCAGAATTTCTGGGTCGATCCACCTGGGTATGTGGATGATGTTGTTTGGCCGCGGTATGTGACGGATCATGCTTGGTTGTTGATTGCCGAGGATGAAGATGAGGATAAGAAGGGTGGGGACCAGGCTCTGGCGGAGGCTGATCTTGTTCGGAGGGTTGGGGATGGGACTAGGGCTAGGACTGATGTTGGGGTTGAGGTTGCTCCTGGCGGTGGGAGTGCAGGGATGGATGTTGTTTTGAGGTGGGCTGTTCAGTTGATTTTGGGATATTATTTGAATCGGACGTAGGTATAGCAGTGTATACACTAACTAAATGGTCATATACAAGTACGTATACAGTGACTTAAGCAGTAGATTTTTATCTTTTATTTTTTTTCTATCTGCTAATTGTAGCGATGGCTGCGCCTTGTGCAGTTTCTCATTCAAGCCCCGGTCTTCTCCTTCGTAACGATACTGAACCATCTCCGTCGTCAAAGATTTACTCCCGCAAAATTGGTCCTCGACATCCTGCAAGGCAGTCGATGCGGTCTCAAGGATGTTGGGGTAGGAGAGGAGGCAGGACTGAGGAGACCCAAAGCGACAGTCAATATGGTGTCGTCATATGGTAGTTACTGATAATTGTCAAAAACCATGACTCAAGAAGATCACCGTAGATGTTGGGGTCCTCGCGGTCAGGACAAGCGAAGGTAACGGTACCTTCAGTTCGCTCAGACACGATCAAATTAGGGTGGATCTTTTGAAGGGCTCCGGTAACGAGGATAATATCTTCCTCGGGAGCAGGGTTATGCGAAAAGCGTAGACGGATGATGGTCACGATGGATGTTCTTGAAGGCTTGATAGGTTCCTGATAATAGAGGTTTTGAAGTTGGACTAAAGAAAGTCTCTTCGGATCCGCACCCAAAATAGGTTATATTATGCCCAGGTGTGCCTACGATAAAATGATCAGGTCTAAACAGTCAATATGGCGCAGTTATATAGTAGGAAGTATAAATACGTATATATTGGCTTAAGCAATAGATGTTTTTGTCATTTATGTTTGTTATCTGCTAACTCTAATGGCTGCTGATTCTGCGATTTCTTATTCATGTCCCGGTATTCCCTCGATAACGATACTGAGTCATGGCCATGGTCAAAGAATTTACTCCTGCGCAATTGGCCCTCGCCATCCGAGAAGGTAATCGATGCGGTCTCTCAGGGGCATTGGGGTGGTGTCGACAGGTGTGATGTTGACATACTGTTGAACTTCGGATTGAAATAGCTCAGGCTGCGGATTAAACTCCGCCAGGACGGTATTCGCCTCTTTCTCCACATCAGGATTGGTAGTAAGATTCTTTGCGTACTCCACTGGGCCATAGACACAAACTTCGTAGACCACAGAGTTGCGCAGCAAGTACGACCTGTAGATGATGTACACAGATGCCAGAAAACTAAGCACATGGAAAAGAAACTTGATCAGGGTCAACAGGGTGCACAGTCCGCGTACACGGCGTGGCTTCTTTGGCTCAGCGAATGGAGCTGGAGTCTCTGCGACTAGGGTCTGTGTACTCGTAGACTTGGAAGCTGGACTTTTGCCAGATAAAGGCCCAATCAGTTTAGGCTTGTGAATGGCAAAACCATCATGGAGACATGGAGTTTTCGGGACTTGAGGCTTAAAGTAGTTAAGCTCCGGAACACAGATGGCTCCCGGTTGACCACATGAAAATTGGCACCTAGTATCAGCATTCAGATGTTTCAGAGGTATAGTTTCATTCTGGGAGCCATAAATGGCGTAATCTTCTTGCAGAATAGACTCAGCTTCGTTGTAGCTGAGCGTGGGTTTGATCCATGGCTGCCAGGTAGTCTTGCCTTGTGGCAAATTGACCTCCCACGATACCATGAACATATCCAGAGCTTGTGGGATGCTGACAATATTGAGGCGCGAGATTCCAATGCTATCTGATTGCAGCCGAACGGAGTTGATCAGAGGCTTTTTAGCTGTAAAAACGGCGTCAAACTCGCCATCCGGGCCGCCATGCACAAAAATGTAGAATTTGCACTTCTCGGCCCAGAAGTTGTGGTTGATGAGATCAACGGAACAAACAGCATTGTATTTGATCAGATAGGACGATCCGCTGGCCTCTGCCACCTCTGTCCGTATGACTGTGTTGACTTTGTAGTCCTTGAGTTGTCCGTAGTATTCTGCATTGCACTTACGAAACGCACACACGAGGGTTTTTCCACCGTCGAACTGGGCCATCAAACAGCTTTCCACAAGCGTATGTCGCTTGAAAGACGAAGTCACGAATTCCATTCCCTGACCCGGGGGTGTTCGGAAGTAGAGATAACCAGACTCGAATTGGGCGAGTCGAGGCAGTCCACTCACAGCCAACTCCAACCAATCCTTGGATTTTCCTTTTTGCAACCTGACCTTGAGCGAAATTGCGATTTGGTACGTCGCGGAGTAGCCAACGGGAAGGGTCTGCACGTAAAGAATGCCGTTGTTCAAGATGAGCTTGGGCTTGTAATTTTCGGCGATTTCGGCGGACGTCCGGGGCAGAGGGTTATACCCAGGACACGAGAAAAACGATGGCGATCCGATGGATTCGAGTGAAAGAAGTAGGTCCTCCTTTTCTTTGTCACTGTCTCCGGTGTCGGAAAAGCTTCCATTGCACCCACGAGTAGAAAGTGTATCATAATTCCGCTGGAGCAAGTTCGCTTCGGTGAGCGGTTCAGTACCGCTCAAGTCAATCTTGCTGGGAGTTTCTGCATTATGCCAAAGAGGGATTTCGCCTGGTTCCGGTGCATCGTTAACCGCCGCTGTCTTGCTGTTTAGCGAGAGACGCTCGGATGTAGCGCTCGGGGAAACTGGCACAAGACCCGGAGTCGGCGGGTCTTGAGGCAACAGGATGTTCTCAGGCATCACACTGGTTTCATCCAGACTGGCAGGACGACTGTGAACGAGGCTGACGATCTCCTCGACGGTGGTGCTAGTGTCCTGGGACACAGTCTCCAGTCCCGCCGGCGGGTCGATCTTGGTCATCGTAAGTTTGTGTCGGGTACCTTGGTACTCATCGTCAGGAGGGATTGAGTCTGGCAGAGAAGCAGCTTTGGCGGATCTCTTACGAGGGTTTGAGGAATGCGGGCTGCCTAGGCTGTTAACCTGGCTCTTGCGAAGGCCAGAAGAGGTTGAGCTATCCGAGCTATCAACCTGTGCGTACGTCCCCGAGGTATCCACAGTACGAGGGACAACCAGGGGATCTTCATCACGCGAACCATCATGAACAACAACACTCGCAGACTCAGCAACAGAGTCACTATTGGCAGGGTATGTCTCGGTCTCGTCACCATATTCTTGGCCAGACTGCCAAGCCTCTTTCTCGGGTGTGTCGGTATCATAGTGGAAGTCAGGCTTCAACCGGATGACCCAAGACGGGATTTTGACGGTGTTTGGCGCCTGGACATTGAGGATTGGTAAATTGAGGTTGGGATGACCGCAGGTTTGTAGCTTAATTCAGACTACAGTCAGTACTGAGACACAAAGCGTAGACTCGATGGTTGCCTAATATTTCATTACCTCCATGGCGATTGTGATAGACACCGGTTCTTCTGGAATGCCGCTCCAGTCGCACCACAAATCGAGGTTGCTGAGAGGGCTGTCGTTAGGGTTCATGGTGGGCTCCATGAGATGAAAGGAACTGAAATGGAAATGAATAGAAATGAGAAAGGGAAGCTGATAGAGAGGAAAATGATAGACTTTTCAAGAGTAGAGAGTAGAAGAGAACAGAAGGGAAGTTCGAGAAGGGAAATGGTACAAACAACATTAGGAAGGTACGTGATGATATTAAGCCCTGGAGCCATTGCATTTCCACCTCAGTAAAGGTTATACACCTTTTTTGGCCCTTTTGTGCTGTCTAACAAACTGAGAAGGGGCAGAAAATATCTATATAAACAGACATCTGAAAAGACTACCTGAAGAGACTACCAAGAAAAGACCACTAAAAGGACATATAAAAAGACTATCGGAGAAGACTATCTAAGAAGACCACCAAGAAGACTACGGCCGCATACACGTGAAGATATTAAGCCATTGCATTTCCACCTCATACATCGTCAATTAAGAAAGAGAAAGAAAGAAGCAGCACTTGCAATTAGCCAGTGATACTGCTTAAAAAAAAGGGGCCTGTATGTACAAGAAGGGCTTAAGAATAATCTCACTTTTCTCCCAATCCCATGAAAGAAAGACCTTCCCCTTTTATATCCGCCAGCGCCTGTAAAAAATGAAAACCTTTAGCCACCCAGTTAAAGCATCAAGCATAAAAAAAGAATAGTGAAACACTCCTCCCAGTCTATTAAGACAGAAGAAAGAAAAAGAAAAAGATAAAAGCCAGAACATCGAGGACGTCGAGCAAATCATTGTGGCGTTCCATTCGGGGAATCGGGGTGATCAAAGGTTGTTGGGCCGGCCACGGAGCCAAATCGATCGCCTTCGTTGACCATTTGAGATGGAAGAATAGGGGTATTCGCCTGAGGAGTTTGGTCGAAATAAGCTCGCGCGGATCCATTAGTTCCTTGGGGATAGTCGCGATTCCGCTGTAGAGGAGGAAGTATAGTCGAGCTAGGAGGGTATCCGGAACGGGCATATCCCTGAGCCATCATGGCTCCAGTCGAATCCGGAGTCTGTCTCGGTTCCAAAATCCTTAGCTAGGTGTTCTATTCCACTCTCACAGGTTCGCAGAGGGGTGTCGTACAGGAGTGCCAGGCTGGTTCATCGCCATCAGTTGTCCCACAGCGGCCTGCTGCTGCTGGCTGGATCGGCTTTGACCGGTAGGATCGGGGATCTGGGCCATGGGAGCCGATGCTTGCATGCCCGCTGATGCTTGCATGCCAGGGTACATCTATCCACCGAGGTCAGCTCAACGAGCTCCCAAAATCTGCAAAAGGGGGTTAGGAGTACGAACCGCCGTGTAATCAGGCACCACCTGCCCTGTGTTGTAAGTCTGCATGGCGGCAGGCGTTTGATAGGCTGCTGGCTGACCAGCGTACATGGCAGCTGTTGGCTGGCCATATGGATCCATTTGACGGGCCATTCGACCATCCACATCATAGAGGCCCTGCTGTCTGCCATAGTCGATCGAAGTACGATGACGCTTGACCGGCGGCTGCTGACCGTAGTACCCATAATCTCGCGCCGCCGGCGGATAGCCTCCATAGCTAGAGGATGGAGGAATCTGCACCGCCTGGCGTTCTGGAGATCGAGTGGCGACTGGTTGATGGAACTCGTCCGGTCGTGTGGATCGTTTCCTGCGACTGTTAACTACACGCCTTCACATTCCCATGGGTTTCATAGCACTTACAACATCGTCCGAGGTTCCTTCCGGATGCGCAATTTCACACCTTGATCCGCAAATGATCGCGAAAGGTGGGTTGACTCCATCATCCCGGGGAAACTCTTAGGAGGGGAGACTGCAAGCTTGTCAGCACTCAACTGTGCCAGCTCTCTCCACGGAGATTCTTACCTGTGAACCGCTCTGAGATAACGGTCTTCAAATAGGAGACACGGTCCCTGTTGCCTCTTTGTTAGTTATTGAATCTGGGCTAGGCTCCCGACCCTGCTACTCACTTTCGCATCTCGAACAAGGTAAACTTCAGGCGAAATTCGCCCTCAATCTTCACGGAGAGATCTCCAAAGACAAAAAATCCACCATCTACAAAACCGTCAGCGAACAAGTCTCACTTCAAGACCAACCAGGACTAACCGCTGTTGTCCACGTCCTTCAACCGGTGAAGGGACGAAACTAGGGTTCCTGCTAACGCAGTTGATGGTGCGACGGGTACAGGACGCTCTTCTGTTGCATCGTACAGACTGCAGCACATGAAATAGTAAGGGCTTTGCAGGTAATGCCTGCGCCAAAGTCAGCTACCCGAGCGAAGCCACAGTGAATGCACACTTACTGTGCGAGGTAGGTGTTCTCTTCTCGCACCCGGAGCTGGACGATCGGGGGCGGATCGATAGGTTTGCGCTCTGCAGGCGCCATTAGATCCGGTTCCTTTTCTGTCAGTTCCGCGCCTCCCCGCTTCACAGACGGGGACTAGCCAGGAACAAGAGAAAGAAAGAGAGGAAGCTTCCACGTACCTTTTTCCTTGCCCCCCGCCACGCGGGCCCTATTGGGCTGCTGGCGAATGATCAAGTCAAAGTCAGAACTGGTGTTGTTCAACATTGTCAGTGGGATTCCCTGGACGACCGCGTAAGAGTTGCGACCCTGTCAAAGTAGACACGGGAAGAACGACTCACCCCTGAGCTTCGCGCGAGAGAGAGGCGTCGGAGAATGTCGCACTCATCAAGACGAAGAGTCACAGACAAACAAGGGGAAAGGTGGAGAGAACCCCCAAATTTGAGGTTGCTTTGACAGGTGGTGAACCAGCAGATACTAAGGTCGATCCTCGGGAATACAGAGACCAGCTGGGAGTGATCTGTGGTTTACAAGGGAAAGAGTGGGAAATGAAGGGAAGGAACGGGTCTTTCGACCGACAGAAATCCAGTGGTCAGAGAAGATAAGGACAGGCTGGGAAGAGAACCCTGGACGAGTCACGATGTCGTCGGAGAGGGGTGACAGCTGTAGTGGGGTAATGAATTTTTTTTCTGTTTCCTCAGACTTGAACCATGGAAGAGAAGATAAATGAAGGACGACAAGCTGTAGAGATAGAGAGAGTGTGAGAGATGGATGTGTCGAACGTGACGAAAACGGAGTGGTGTCGTCAGTTTGCAAGCGGAAAGAGCCAACCGAGCACGGTTCCAGACAAAAACCTTAAGCGGCTCTCTTCTGATGGGTATAACGGTGCCCCGATAATGTAGATATTCCGACCGAGATTGAAATCTAACGCATTTATCAATAAATTGGGGGGAAGGAAAAAAAAGATTCAAATTCAGAAAAAAATTCAGAAAATCAATTGGATCACAGGCTTCCAAATCTCCCAGTCATGAACAAATCAGATTCCAGAATCCCACAAAAAAAAGCAAAAAAATAGAAAGGAAAAAAAATCAACTAACCCGATGAATTATCCAGGATTTTAATCGAAAAATAGAAGAAATCAAAAAAAAGGAAATCAAAAAAGAGATCCTCGAATTCTACCACAGTAGCAATCTCTTCAAAAACGAGAGCAGCTGAGGTGGATAAAGACCAAGTGTAACTGTCTTGGAAAAGGAAAGACCAAAGAGAAAAAAGAAAAAGAAAAAAAGAGGAATTAAACCGTAGACGGAAGAAAAGTGGAATAGGTTCAGCTACCCACGGTTGAGGGGGCGAATGGCGATCCGGATGCGCAGTAAACTTCTGGCTCTCTTCTCTTTCTCGTTGGTCCGAAAGAGAAAACGGCCAACCGCTAGTCCGTTAGTCCGCGTCTGTTTCTTTATGATCATAAAAAACCCACAAGGGTTGGCGCCGGCTATGCAGGTGATCAGACCCGGTTTTCTTGTCGGCCGTAATGGTGTTGGTCTAAACGCCAGGTGGACTCGGGCCCTGGTCCGGCGTCTAAGCATTCCAGTCAAAAGTGGAGATATGCACGATCAAGCCGCATCGCCTATGTCCGGGGGTTGCACCTGTGTCTCCACACTCGATCTCAATCCTGCAATGATTAGCTTGGATGGTCAAACAGCAAGAAGACTCATTTTGAAGTTCAAGGACTTCCGAACAGGCGCGGATAGAGCTGTCGCTTGTCAAAGGTTCCAACCATGGTTGGCTGACTTCCTTATGTCATCCCGAACCAAAGAATGCCTTCAGGCCCTAGAACTCCCACATTCGCTTGGGCACCTGCCCCCTAAACAAACCAAAAAATTGAAGAGACAATACCTTTTTCTTGATGCCCTGAATTATTTTTGGTGTGGGAAATCCAATATTCGAATATCGCCCGTGAATTCTCCGATTGCAGGCTTGCGCCCGCGTGGGCGACCTGAAGATGCGAATGTCGGAGCTCAAGGTGAAAGGACTCAACACTCGCGTTCGAAGGCCTAGGTCCGGCACAGACACAGACAAGATGATCGAGAAAGCCGATATCCACAGACACAATTGCGTGTAGTGGCACGTCGTAAAGCCCGAGAGCGCTGGTCGAGCACGTTATTCCGATTCGAGACGACGAAACCATACATGCCGGGTCATGATGCGACAGTGGGAAGCAAGAGAGGAGAAAATGAGTTGAGTTGAGGAAATCGAGAAGGGAAAACCACAAGGCAGTGCAGACTTGGACAAGGCGTTTAAGGGGGAAATGCAGCCACGAACAACGCATCACTGCACGCAGGGCTTTCCCCGTGACGCGTCACATTTCCTGAGAGGCATGCAGGCCCAGATCGCATGCAAGCTACTGTATGTTGACTGCAGTTGGGGGCCAGCGTCAACGCTGGTTGGTTGCATCGGCCGGAAATCCCTCGATCAAGCTATAGGGCCGGGGCAGCATGCATCAGCCAACGAAAAGAAGAAAAAACCATATCAATACCGGAGACTGGTTTGGGTCACTCCTGCAGCTTGCAGATCGGGTGTTCGTCATAATAAAATAAACCGGTGCTTTCTAGTATGGACTACGGGGGCTGTCTTGCGCCACACTCGCTGACCCTCGATTTGCGGCTGAGAATGTACGGTACTTTTTTCCCCTCCAGTTCAATGACCTTCCAGATGGGTTTGGCTGCATCGGCAGTGCACAGGTGGATCCCGCATGCTAAGGCATTAGTCGCTGCGTCCTGCCGAGGAACTTGAATCCCAAACTCTCTGGGCATGGGGGACCGCCTGTCCTCTCCGTTTGTCAGGTCTTTTTCTTGGCAGGATTCATAGACAAAAACTCATCCAGACCCTAGGTTACAGCAGATATTGTGGGGTCAGGGTTTGGGACGGCATAGTGGCGATGATCATCGCCGCCAACATGTGATACGGAGGGCTGCAGGTGCAGTTGGCTATGACAAGCATTCCTGTCACAGTTCACGACCTGTCTTCCCATGGGAGCTTTGATAGCAGTGATCATATGCAAGGGTGAGGACAGCAGGAATTGATTCCAATCAGAAAGCGCCGATCATCCGACAGAAGTCCGGCCCCAATGTTGAATCGTGCAGGCAGAGTTATATCGGTATTGGCAAGTCCGTTGACTGGAGCAGATGGGATCCGCTGGTGGGGTTTCTGACGCCAGTACTCAGCTTCCCAGAAAACAGCGTCTGCGATTCGCTAAACGGATAAGTATGAGCTGACAAAAGGGGGAGTCAAATAAGGAAGAGGAAAAAAGGTAAAATGAAAGGTTGGAAAGTGGGAAAGAACACTCAGGGTACGGGCATTGTTTGGTCTCACTGGCCCTGAACTGTGGTTCTTGCCATTGCATTATGCCTGGGCGACAAGTTCCTGGGAATGCAGTTGATAGGCCCGAAAAAACTTCACAGCCCTAGATGCACATCATTATGCGACGAGCAAGCCCCAGCGTTGGGAGCACGACCTGTCACTTCCTTTTGACTTCCGGGATTCTGGTCCGGCGCCAGGACAGAAGTCCCAAGTCCTGATCTTGGTAATGGCGGGGAAAGCCGCCATTTCCTCTGTTGGGGAGTCATGGTTTGGTTGTGGAAACTAACATGATCCAGACGCTGGATGGAATAATTGGGCGAAAGGTGGCTGTGATACTGGTGCTAACAAGTAGGGACAAGAAGAAAGAAAAGAAGAAAAGAAAGTTCGAGTGCGAAAAACAAAAAATTAAAAGCGACCGCCAAAAAGGAAGCGAATTTTTCGAATTTTTCCCAATTTAAAAGTACAGCGCACACCCTGGCCAAAATCCACTGCGGCCCCGATTGGAAAAACCGGGAACTTGTTACGGAGTAGTGTCGGGGATGTTCTACCGGCTACAGTAATAAAAGGGACCCGTGGAGAACAATCCAAAAAAGGCCAAGTAGTCGAACGAACCCGTGTTCGGCACTTCAACGCACCAAGTCGCCGAGGGAAAAGGAAGAAGGGGGGCGATGGAGTGCTGAACACGGTACTGGACGGGGCGGGATAGGGAAATTTTTAAACTCACGGAGACCGGTGAATGAAATTATTGGGGGATCTCAGCAAATTGCGCGAGTAACCAAAAAGGGTGTCTGACAGCGGCATCTCCATTGAGAACCAGTGGTTAGGAGCTGCTAAGTGGGCGCTACTGTGGTTATGCTTAAATGTTGGCCCTGTGATGGTTCCATGGTGGTTTGGGGCCCGATCCATGGTTGTGTTTCCCTGACAGCTGTCCGTGTTGGCGCCATGTCGATCTTTGTCGATCGGTGCTTTGTCGGGACTATAGATTGATTACTATAATGAGATGATGTATGGTTTCGTATTCCTTCTGATACGTATGATCCTTCAAAATGCTAGCTGGTAACTAACTAATTAGTTACTTGTGCTCCGCATTGGTAAGCTGATCTCACCGTCCCCCCGATCCCAATGCAAATCTCACCTTCCTAAAGGGGGCTGGCCTGAAATCCTCCCATTGTGGGATACTCGAGAGACACATGCGTGATTGTGATTTTCATGGTTATTGCTCGATGTTTCTGCGTATTTTCGATCGTCTAAGCTAACTGTAGGTCTACGGCAAGGATTATACGGAGTAGTCCGTACTTATGTTGGATATGCAGTAAGGGCCCCTAGTGGAACACATCAGATAGTCGCAGATCAGCCACAGCTATCGAGATTAAGTATTACAAGAATGGTCGGCCACTTATGCGGCGTTGCCAAGTCATTTTGGTAGTCTGTTTACTAGCCTTTCAGTTCTCTTTTTATAGCTAGACGGCCGAAAAGGCAGGATAATGCTAAACCGTACAGGTGACTTTTCTATCTATGATCAGGGACGTTTTGTTCCTCGTATATATATACGGAGAAGTGCGGCGAATATGATTGGTTATTACCTACATATGTAAGTCTACTCTGTATGTCCCTAGAGAAAAAAGAGCTACCCAGTAATTGATACATTGACATAAGATATGCTAATCACACACTGTACTCATTCGTCGCAACTAGATAGAAAGAGAAAGCAACACCCAAGCAAAAAAAACTCCAGACACCCCCATCCTTGCTCCGTGCTGGATAAAATCCCTGAAAAAGCGACTAGTAGTAAATGGCCCAAAGAGGATGGATGAGTGTCGCACGACACTCCTCGCCTGGACGCCCACTTAGCGTAACATAGCTTTCAAACAAGAAGAGAAATGGAGAAAGAATATTAAATCAGACGGCGGGACAATGCAGTTCCCGGGGACACGTGAAAGAAAAAAGAAGGGAGAAATAAAGGAATCAGAAATTTCGTTAAAACAAACGCCCTATCCACATGCGTAACTTGCTTTGCAGGCAAAAAGAAAATCTCCTCGAATCATGAGCTTCAAGATTATCATGTCTGCATCACGACATCCCCATCCACTTCGTACTCGGCGTCAATCTCTGCATCCGCGTCTGCATCCGCGTCTGAATCTGCGTCGGTGCCATTGGTATTGGCCACAGCCTTTTGGCCCTCACCTTTTCCGGGGGACTTGGAAGCAGATCCTGGCTCAGCGGGAACCACAACGTGAACTTTCTCTACCAAAGCCTTCCGCCCGACCGATCGCGGTGTCTTTGGGTTATCGTTGGATCGGCGGGAGACTGCTGTTCCGGGTGACCGGGAGATGGAGTTGGTCTTTTTCTCGGGGGTCTTGGGTGCTCCCGTGTTCTTGTCCTCGGACGGCTCGGGCTCAGCAGCATCAATGCCATTGATCTTGGCAGGTGTCTTGCGGGCAAGATCTCCATTAACATGCTCCGGTTCTTTTTCGCTCACATCTGCAGTTTCCTTAAGTTCAGGGGCCAGATTTCCGGCATCCTCATCAACGACAGCTTCTTCCTCGACAACTTCGGTCTTGTCCGGTTCAACACCATTGGCATGGCTAGGTGTTGCTTCAGCTGCAGGCGAGCCCGTGAGGATAGATCTTCTCCCGCGACGAACGCTGCCCCCAGGGGTGACCGTTGCCAACCCGGAGGGCCGTCGAGGTGTGTTGCGACCGCTATTACGGGCGGCCGTGGGTGTCGTTGACGTGCTATTGAGTTTGGTGCTACCAGATGGGCGACCAGGTCTGCGTTTGGGGGGTGCTGCAGGAGGCACAGGAGGCCAAAGTTCGAACCGGGAGGGTGGGATTCCAGCGGCAGGGTTGGGGATTGCAGATGTTTCAGAGTCGCCCACTGTAGAATGGTTGGAGCCATTAGGCCGCAGAGCCAAAGTGGATGGTGGTCCAGCGGAGTCTGCGAGGGTGTCTCCATCCGACGCATTCACGGTCCGGGCATTGCCCTCATAGTCAGTCGCTCTTGCCTCGGTCTCCTCTTCATCTTCATCCGGGTCCTCTCGAGGGGCAACGGTATGTATGGGAGCACGATCGAAATGAGACTGGTTGCTACGACCCATAATGTAAGGCGTCCAGAGTAGCGCATCTGGATTGAGCTGGACGTAGCCCTTGCTTTCCCAGCCACTGATGACCTCGTTGTAATATTTGTGATCGAGACGGATGGCGTACGTCTTGGTAATGGGATCCCGCACGAGAGCTCGAAGCCCTTCCAGAGCAGATACAATGTCATCTGCCGTCATTCCGGTGCGATCAGACAGATCTGCAATGCTGATAGGCGTCTTCAAATCACGAAGTTGGTATGACAAAATCAATCGCCAGTAGTTCCGGTACGATACAAGACCCATGTCGGAGAGCGGCTTCTCGGGCGATCCATTTTTGCCTTCGATGCGGGTAAGGAGGTATGAGAAGTCGATGAGGAGGTTCCCGTAGCCTTTGCGTTGATGGATGGGTAGAGTAAGAATGCAGGAAACATTGTTCGCTGAGCTTGGACGTTTTTCTTTGCTGAAGTAGCCAACGAAATGGCAGCCCAGATCATCAAACTCAGTCATGACATAGAATAAGAATGGCTCAACATCGTAGTAAAGAGTCTTGGAGCCTAGGAAAAGTTTTGCGAGAAGGCAAAGATTTTGACAGTACACCGGGTTCTTGCGCCCATCAACTTCGAAGATTGAGATCGATCGATCTCGATAGATCTCGTCACCGGGGGGATGCTTCGCAGGGCACTTAAGTTTATGGCGCCAGGCGACGAAGTCCGAGTTCATGTACTTGAGGCAGAACTCACAAATGTACAGAACACGGTTGCGGCTGTATTCCTCCGGATAAGGCGCTGCATACCAGGTTTCGATCTCGTAGCCACCGAAATTGATAGATTTGATCTTTGAAGGAGGACCGGAGACCTTTTGTGATGCATGCGCAGTGGTTTCGCCATTGAGTTCTGCTTCCTTCACTTTCTGTTGCCATTCATCTTCGGCTTTCAGACGTGCCTGTTCGAATCGGTCGCGATCGAATTGTGTAGGGAGTGTCCTGGATGTATCTTGGTCGACTTCTGACAGAATGCCTCCGTATGGTTTTGATTTGGCGTCGTCGGTCTCACGGTCGAACAAAGTCATAGAGTTGTAGGATATGGGGGGAAGGGGAACGAAATGTGCCTGGGGTTCTGGGGCCACAGGTGGCGGCTTTGGTGCTTTCTTCTTCTTGCGTTGCGATCGGATTTGAGAGCCTGTTATTTTAGACGTTTTTGTCTCTTCTAGCCGGAACCCAATAATCAATTTCCCGTACTGCCTAGCTACCACGCGGCAGTGCTCTCGGTCCACTGCGCGAGTGCGTCGCACGCGTACAGAGCGTGTCCGAGCAGGAGAGTGGACATCGCCATCAGCAGCGACATCCCCGCCCTCCAAGGCCGCATCATTCAATATAGGGCGATCGGATCGGAAAGATGTTTGTCGAAGTCTTTTGCGAAGCACAGGTGTGTGTTCTTCGGCCTCGATTGACGAGGCCTTTCGCTTGCGTAGCGATCGCGAGCTATTGAGCATCTCGTCGTCCACGCCTGTGTTAAAGATAGAATGGAATCCCTGGTCGTGCGTGCCAGCGTGCGCAGGTAGAAGCTCTTTGGGAAGGGTTGAGGCTCCGAGTCCGGTTTCTGCCGCTGAATTTGTTATTGTGTCGGGCTCTAGATTGTTATGGACACAGCTGGGACATCTCCATGGGCCTGGGTGTTGCGATGTTAGAGCGTGTAATACATTAAAAAGGGAGAGGTGATGAGGTAGAAGTCAATGACCATGTGTTTGCGTACCTTCCGTTTCATCATATGCGTCTTGTTCGCGAGCGCATTGCCGATGAGCTGTTGGGGTATCGAGTCAGTGATGGTCCAACATAATCGGGGTAAAGAGCAAACGGAGCCAAACGTACAGTGATCACCACACACAACACAAGTGAGCCATTCCTCAAAATCTTCGCTGGGATCGTGTTCCTCGTCTTGACTGCAAACCCTATTTGTCCGTTATTAGCACCTGAACTTCCTAATTCTCCGCCCAGCGCTGCATCGAGCCCTTCCACTTACAAGCAATTTGAGCCACTACGGATATCAGTTTCGACATCTTCGCGGCCATTGCTCTCAGCTTCCCAGTCTTCGGCTTCTGACTCGTGTTCACTTGATTCGGGTTCTGAAGCCTCACGGTCATTTGCCTCAAACCCGGGATCGGCATCTGCGTCGGCTGTCTCAGACTCCGCATATTCTTCTTCAGAACCCGCGTCATCGTCAGGTAGCTTAACAGCTCCAACTGGTTCGGCCTCATCATTATCATCATCGTCTTCTCCGTTCAACCCATTGACGCTTGAGTTGTTTCCATCCAGAGCTTCCTCCGGGCCATCCTCATCAACTTCTCCAGTGTATGCTCGGTGAACGGCATCTTGAAGCTGTTGATCCATTTCATATAAGTCGGTTTCTTCTTCGCCCTCCGCATCTAGGTCGCTATCTGCTGGGTCCACAGGCGGGTCGAGTTTGCCCGATTCATCGTTTGCTGGCGGCGCCGTCGCCGCCATAGTGAAAGTTACCGCCACCGCCAGGTTGAGCACAGCAGTGCTTGTTGTATGCGCTCAGGTCGACTGAGGTATCTTTTCGTGAAAGAAGCTTAAACCGATCCGGTTACAGAAGCACCCCGCTGACGTCGGCGCTGATCCGGGAGTGCATCTGGATCAAAAGCGGGTTCGAGGCTAGTTGGAGTGGTACCGAAGATATTTATGAACACAGTATCGTTCGAGATCGACGCTCAAAGTCTCCAGGCGCAAAGTGGAAGCTAAACAAACAAGACGTGTCAGTCCGCCGCTCGAGTGGCTAGGCATCGCAAGCGCGTCGTGAAACAGAGGAAACTCACCCCAAGAGAAACCAGTGCAATCTTTGATTCAAAAGCGTACCAGACGCGTCGACAAACAGTCCATACACCGGGGCCTGTCTCTTTTACAATCGAATGCGATCTGCAGCGGCCTTCTCGCCCCTTGTCCTGTGAGTGTCGTTGCAGCGCGCTGAGTCAGCACAAGCTAAACCACTTTGGGTGGAGGAGACCTCAAGCCTGTCGCTGTAGGAAGAGACACTCCCCTCCACACTCTCCGCGATCTATTCACTCCCCTCAGTCCGTGAGAGGCTTTACGGCTCTTGGTCCTACTTTGACACCTCTCTACGACCATCTACATACGCATACAACCGCACACCATGGGTGTCCCTTTTGAGGCCCTGCTTCCCTATGGGATTATCATGACCGTACGTGCCATTGGTCAATGCCTTCCGGGACTATAGCTCACTAATACAGATGTTTGGTGTGACTGGCTACGGTCTTCACTACGTCAAGCGCTTTGCCAACGACGGCAAGAAGGCGCGCTGGAACCGGGACCTGTGGGATAGAGTAAGTTGGTTCCATCCTTGTCGGGTGCGGTCGGAACTTGCATAAAGCACATTGGCTAACAGTTTCACAGCAAAGTGAGTGATTGCAAACTTATCGGCTTACCAAAAACCGCCTTGGAAGAAATATACACGGGACTAACCTCAACCAACAATAGTGATGGAGAGAGATCAGCGCATCACAGGCTCATTCCGGGGGCAGTCGAGCAACCACCAAGCGCCAACTGGATTCGAAGTCAGCAACCCATGGAAGGTACAAATAACATTTCTGTGTCCCTTGGATTCCAGTCTCCATGCAGAAACGCTGACCCGAGACATAGATCGAGAATCGGATCTACTAGTTTCAAAAATTGCAACCTCTTTTCCTTTACGTTCAATGTCTGCGCCTTCATTACTCCGTGATCATACATATCCACTGCAATTTCTCTAGAAACGTTGTACCATATCATTTATTCTCTCGGATTTCCTTAGTAGTCTGCTCGTCACGTCTACTTGAGCTCCGAGGTCATTCCCCGAATCCCTTGGATCTCAGACTCACGAAGATGCATATCGAAATACTTGGCCAGGGCCTTCACGCGGTCCTCTTCAGTCCCCAGTGCCTGCAAGATCTCCGTTTTCCCGCGCAATCTCTCCTTGACTTCTTTGCCCGACATTACGCACTGGCCAATGATTTCTGTGCCACTTTCGTCCAAAATCATTCGCATGCAGACAAAGACCTGGGTAAACCAGCTGGTTCGGCTCTGGCTGACGGAGAAGTTCATGACGCCGAAATCCTGCGGTAAGAACTCCACATCGGAAAAGCAGATCTGTGGCAACCACTTGCTCTCAGGGTTGTATCTTGTTTGGTAGATCCAGATCTTTTGATTTGGGTCCGTGAACTCAGCAATGCTTTCTCTGACAATCCGCATCTCGGATGGCGCGATAGCCGTAGCAGTAGCACCCTCTTGAAGCAATAATGGAGCAGTGGCACAATTGTTTCCGAAGCCGACATCAACCTGTCCATTTCCTTTAGTATTGTTCATGCGGTAGCTGCAGTAGATCTTCATGCCATACCATGTACTTCTTTCCGCCAATGATCACAATCAAAATCATATGCCCACTTCGCCAGATCGATGGTGTCAGCTCTGCTGAGTATGCTCGGAATGCTAAGCTGTTGCAGAACTTACAATGGCAAATATAATCCGTTATCCAATCCCTTCGCCGCAGCATGACTGACTCTACCTCCAGTGGCGTAAACAAGATACCCCAGGGACCGCAAGACAATAAAGAAGATTCCCGTGTTCTCCATGCAGTACCCATCCAGCCGCCGCTCCACCATCTTCTCAAAAAGATTCTGCGGGTTCAGAGAGATAGTATGATGTGGCGAGTAATGCAGCCCTGAGTTGCCCCATGGAATGGCAGCCAGATGCCGCCTTTGCAAATCACACAGCGCAGAAAGTGCGTCATTCTCGATACACTGGCGGAGATGCTGAAGAAGATTGCTCTCTGATTGAGCGGAATGGGAGTATCCGATGCGGGTCAAGTATAACTCCAGTTGTTGATCGGTATAAGTGGGTTTTTGTGCCATTGTCGGGGTTTCCTTGCTATTTGAGTTTGTGTTGGGATATATGAATTGTCTATATCCACTACCAAGATTGAGGACCGGAATTATTCCATTCTCTCTATGTCGTTGTCATTCTGATGACCAATATTGCCTTGGCTCCCCACATTTTCCCGCACAACCAAAGTCGCCTCCGCGGCAGTTTATAGTGCTCGGCTATATTAGGGAATACCCGTGTTCTATGCACAAATTCATCTGTTGTAGGCAGCCTGTTCAGACTTGGACTGTCGATTGAAATTGAATGTCCATATATAGTGTATACAGCATAGAATGCGCCCACCTTTTTCTATTTGTAGTACTACTCAGCCCTGGGACTACGATGTATTTATAAGAGACACGAGTACCTAAGCATACTACATCCTAACTAAATGATGTCCCCTTAAACTGGGGTAAATAGTTCCAGTAGAATATCGGCAGAAGGTACGAGTCCCTACCTAGGTATACTTGCAGTACTACTAAGAGACAATCTATTGCTTTGTCTTTAAGAATATAATATATCCGAGAATCATTACCCCACGTTTGCTGCGAGCTGTGGGAGATACATATTATTATCAATCACCTCGGCTATGAAACTTGCGAGGAACAGTATTAAATTCCAGACAGGATTGTCAATTTAGAAGATGAAATGTAGTAAATATAGAATTGATTATAGCGAGTCTCACAATAACCCAAAGCTAAGCAATCAGCTTGTGAAATGTTCCTTGAAACGCTCTGAGTTATAGATCTCCGATGATGTAGTATTCATCCGATATCCGGACCTACGGACATGTGCTTCGACTGGTCGGCGAATGGACCTTGCATGGTTTGTGTTCATCATATTCTTCCATTATTTCCTGTCTAAATTCTACTTTGTACAGTCCATCTATACAGATTCAACAGCATATTGCCCCTCCCACCGTGAACCCCCGCATCTGAACACAATGGCTACGCTGAACGAGCAACTTGCGACATTAATCGAGAACTTCTCACCCTGCGATGTATGCCAGAATAAATCATCGAAGCACTAAGTGCATCTAACATTCTAATTCTGCAGGTATCAGATGCCCTCATCAAGTTGCAAAAGACGCCCGAGGGCAGCACAGCAAGAGCAGGCTACCTTGCAGATCTAGGTAAGCCATCAATACAAATCCCACCAAAGCCTTCCATCTATATCTTCAATAATTCCACTCACATGCATCCAACAGTACCATTTTCCCCCACCACAGGACGGAATGAAACAATGCCCAAGATTGCGGCTCCGGCGACAACATTCAAATTCCTAGCCAAAGATGCCAGCCCACCATCTATTGCGACAGAAAATCCCCAGAAACACGGTTTCTCGCCGGGTAAGCACTGGGTAGATCATGTCGGCGAATTTCAAGCGTCAGATCCTTCTGGCGCTGGGTCTATCGTCGTCATTGAGCAGCCTGAGAACCAGTATTGTGCTGTGACGGGCGGGATCATGGCGACCCGCATGAAAGCCCTCGGGACCAAAGCCACGGTTGTGGGTGGCCGCGTCAGGGACTTGAAAGAATTGAAAGCTACTGGGCTTCCGGTTTGTCTTGGTTTATCATAATTTTGTCGTTAGTGTCACTGATTGTTTTCTCGGCTGATGGTAGATCTGGGCTCGTGCTACTTCTACTGTTGGCACCAATGCCGAGGCCAAGGCCGGTGCTCGTGATGTACCAATCACAATTGGGGGTGTTACTGTTTCGCCTGTGAGTCCTAGCTGCTGTGCTGTTCACCGATTGCTCTGTGGTGGAGTTCAGGGTCTAATCATTGCAATGCATTATAGGGAGACATTATTTTCTGTGACCCATTGGAGGGAGTAGTAGCCATTCCTCGCGAGCTACTCGGTCAGGTGCTTGAGCTCATGCCTAAACTAACTACAATGGATGACAAGGCCAAGGAGGCTGTTGCTCAGGGAATGAGTGTCACTGACGCTTTTAAGAAATTCCGCTGATAGCCTACTTCTAGCCAAATTTATATACACACAATCAGATTACATAGTGGGCGACGAAACTGGAGAGACCTGGACCAGGCGCACAGAAGTCTTGTACGAACCTACAGCGATACTGCTGTCAAACACGGAGCGAACATGTAGTCAAGCATGTATATGCAGCTCTAATCTTTTGGTATTCGAAGTATTCAATACATAACGAGAAATCTGTGTATATGAAATAGAAAAAAAGGGCTAAAAAGCCAAATCGCTGTGCAAATATACAATCGAAACATAAGCTTCGTTTACTCTGACACCCAGACAGCGGCCATACCCATACCGGTACCGATACACATGCTGGTGACACCAATCTTCTTGTTTGTGCGCTTGAGCTCAGTAAACAATGTGCTGACCTGGCGAGCACCAGTGCAGCCAAGAGGGTGACCGAAAGCAATAGCACCACCCTTGGGGTTAACCTTCTCGGCAGGGATGCCGAGCTCATTAACACACCAGACACACTGGGAAGCGAACGCCTCGTTGATCTCGTAGATGTCGACATCGTCCTTGGTGATGCCGGCCTTCTCCAGTGCAACGGGGATAGCCTTCCAGGGGCCGATGCCCATGAGCAGAGGCTTGACGCCGACGACGCTGGCAGTGACATACTTGCCAAGGATCTTCTGGCCCAGACGCTCGGCGGTGGACCGCTTCATGAGGAGGACGGCGGCAGCACCGTCGGAGATCTGGGAAGCGTTACCGGCGTGGATGGAGCCGTCCTTGGCAAAGGCGGGCTTGATCTTGCCAAGCGACTCAGCAGTGATACCCTGGCGGATTCCGTCGTCGGCCTTAACGGTGATGGTCTTCTCCTCGCCGGTCTTGGGGTCGGTCCACTTCACGTCCAGAGGGGCGATCTCCTCGTTGAAGAGACCAGCCTTCTGGGCGGCAATAGCCTTTTGGTATGAGTGAGCGGCGAAGGAGTCTTGGGAAGCACGGGTCACGCCACGGTCCTTGGCCATGTTCTCGGACAGTACACCCATGGGGACCTTGCAGTTTGCGGACTCAGGGTGGCTCTCGAGGAGGTCGGAGAACTCGGTCACGGCACCGGGTCTGTATCGACTTGTTAGCCATATCATCGAACGAGGGAATTCCGGGGCTTGAAACATACCCGTACTGAGAGGACATGCTCTCAACACCGGCGCCAATGCCGACATCGATCATGCCGGACTTAATGGCGTTGGCAATATCGGCGATAGCCTGGAGACCACTAGAGCACTGACGGTTCAAGCTCTTCACGGCGGTGCTCTCTGGGAAGCCAGCCACGAGAGCGGCGGCACGGAACTCAGTGGCACCACCACCGGGGGCAAGCACGGAGCCGACGGCAATGTCCTGGACAGTGCTGGGGTCAACGCCGCTCTTATTCAAAACAGCCTTGAAGACACCGGCAAGCAAGTCAGCGCTAGCGGTATCCTTGAAGCCACCCTTACCACCCTTGGTGAGGGCGGTGCGCAGGGCACATGTGACGACAATGTCATCGGGGTGCTTCTCGATGATAGCGGCGGCTCCCTTCTTGCCACCAGGGCCAAAGTGGGAGGAAACCTGGTTAAGACGTTGCTGGGCTATAGACAGAAATTAGTTTGCTGGTTCTATTTCGATTATAACTCGCAACAAGCCACCAGAAACCCAGTATTCTGTAGAATACATAGCCATGGGCTGTCACATGCACATTACTCACCGTTAGACATGACGTCAATGTGTGATGGAGGTATAGGAGAGGTATGAGGATGAAGAATAGGACAAAAGTGAGGATAAGAAAGTAGGCCAAATATCCGGGGAAGCGGTGGTTTATAAATCAGGGCCGTGGAATCGGTGGTATTTCCCCTTTGGACGGCCGTAGCTGGCCGCTGTCGCATTCTGAGAAAATACCGAGGTCCATTTGGCCGCATCATTGTCGGTCCGGGGAAGTCACGGGATCTCCGACTGGTGGATCATGGGGCATGTGAAAGCGCATATCACATGCGGACGTCTTCACGACGTCATGTAAGAAGATCAGCTCGGCATAAGACTGTTGGTAACTTCATATGTTTTCAGATGTTATGTACACTAACATTTTATCCTGAAGCCCATGTCAACATAATATCAACATGTCTGTCTCCTACGAATAAATCTCCTGGAGACCCGAGTAACAGTCTCCTTTTATGAGATCAGTTGGAGGGCTTGTTATATTAAAAAGATCAAGATCTGCAACAATACCTCTTATAGCTCAGCTGGAAGAGCGTGGGACTGTAATTGTTACTCGCCAGCAAACCCTGGTATCCCAAGGTCCGCGGTTCGATCCCGCGTGAGAGGAGTTTCTTTTTGTTCTTTCCTCCAATCCAAATTGGATTGGATTGTTCCTACCGCTTTCCTGGTATCTGTACAACTCAACACTTATACTGACTGCACTTACTACGTATCTAGTGAATTGACTGCTGTCATGGTTCGACTTGGCCAAAGGTATGTACTACAGTCAGTCTATAACACAGTCCATAGTATACATACGTAGTCCATAAAACATATGTAGTTCGATATAGAGATCGGAGTTAATAGGACCTGGCTACTACTAAACTACATATGTAAAGTGTGCACGTAAGGTACCTAGGTACCTAACTAAGACCTCGGGCCCCGGGGCCCTCGGGGATGGATCCCGCTTACATCATGTACACCACAGGTCCGGCCGGAGGTTTACACGGTCCTACTCTCCGTACAACATTCTTCCTTCTTGCTTTTCGATAGTTAGGTATTACTACGAGCTGCCAAAAAGGTCAAAAAGGATTCCTCTCACGCGGGATCGAACCGCGGACCTTGGGATACCAGGGTTTGCTGGCGAGTAACAATTACAGTCCCACGCTCTTCCAGCTGAGCTATAAGAGGATTGTTGTCTCGCCGATCAATAAAGCGAATATACTCGTAGAAATCGGACACACCCCAAGCTCCAGCCAATCCTCCAGTGCTCCACCGTCTTTCGGCATCTATAGCATTTGGGCAGGTAAAAATTTGCAACCTTCGAATTTCAGTTTATATAGTAAAACAAATGCAACTGATTACTAGTAAACTATATATCATCGCTATTAATTTCAGGTGTCTAGCTACGCATATACCCCGCGCCCCGAGAAGTGCTTTATGCTCCCACGGCCCCCGTAGACGCCCCGACCCCGCGGTCCTTCCCATGACGACGGATATAATGCACAAAACGGTCTTGTGCTAACGTATCAGGGAGGAGCGGAGGATTTGCGTCTATATCTGCATCTACGTCTGGAAATATAGTACTACAATTGTGACTTACTTTTGTCAGCAGTCTATGTAGTGAGTACGAGTACCAAAAATATTGTTATATATTACTCGAGAAGCACAGCAAGGTACTAGTTAGAGACGTTTTGCAACGTGTATTATACTATTAAACCATTTATCAGCCGCTCATTTAGGCAGGCGGAAAAGAAGTGGAGATCCACAGTACTCCACTTTAATAAATAGCATACCGTGACAAGGCATTAATCTTAACACCCTTGGCCCCATGTCACATTATTACATAATATTCTGCCGGTCGAAATATCGGCCCAAGATTAGCCAGGTAGCTGTTATAGCATGCTTGCTACGCCAAAAATTACATTTCTGATACCTCACCTACCCCTGGGCTTACCTCTCTAGCCCCGGGCTTCTACCCCTTGGTCTCTCACCTCGCCCAGCACCAACAAGGACCAGGCCTGGCCTTAACATGTGGTTAAAATTCTTGATATCCTGACTGTGCAGCTAGGACTAGTTGAGATTAGCGGAAAAAACAGCCCCACCTTCATGGGTTAGTAAGTAGGGTCTAAAAGAAGGGATTAGACCTAAGCCCTATCTGCCTAATTGGGATTCTGCCAGACAGAAATTAAATGGTTAAGAAATAGTTAACTAACTATACGTTGCAAAACGTTCTACTACCAAGGGAGAATGTCTTCCCTCACTGTTGTTCCCAATTTAGCTCGTGCTAGAAGCAAAAGAACCAAGAAGCAAAAAGGATTCCTCTCACGCGGGATCGAACCGCGGACCTTGGGATACCAGGGCTTCCTGACAAGTAACAATTACAGTCCCACGCTCTTCCAGCTGAGCTATAAGAGGTATATTGGTGGAGGTGGCAATTTGAGGCTCATGAGCAAAGATTTGAGTCCCAGACGCCTGATATTCCAACTCCGCAGTGCGCTCAACCGTATACAACCCACGATGATCCGAGTATTATTCACAAGGCGCGCCTCTCCCTTCGGGGCCAGCGCACTCAACCCAAACAATCTACCAAGAGTATGGCAGGAACAAACCGCGCACCTTCGAGAGCTAAAGAAAACGATTCAGCCCGTCACACGACCCTTCACAACGACCCGGCCTACAGCCCTCACAGCATCGCTACCAAGAGAATCCTCGCCCTTCCGCCTCTCCAAAAAACCTGACTCGCCTAGCTTCGAAGATGTCTATTACAGTCCATACCAGCCCAAGCGCCAATGGCCACCGGATATGTCGAAACTGTCGCCAAAGCACCAGTTCCGACTGGAGCGCAAGTACCGTCGGCGCGCGGCGCTGAAGTACGCGCGGCCGAAGTTTATGAAGGTCGTGACTATTGGACAGTGGATTGTTATCGGGTGTGAGTGTCTCAAGGATTGGGAATGCGCTTGATGCGGAAGGATGCTGACTCTGTTAGTCGTTATTGTGTATGCTGTGCTGTTTATGGAGTGGGAGACGAGTGATACGCCGTTCCATGGAGTAAGTTTCTTGGTTTTGGTGGCGGAGATATAGCTAACGTTGCGCAGATTCGGGAGAGGTTCTTTGCTGGTCTCAAGTCTGTTTTCTCTAGCCCGCCGTCTCCTGGTCCTGTGAGGAGAGACCAGAAGGACTCGGGGTCTGGAGAGCAGTAGTCAGGTCGACTGTTTCATTGATTTGATATGAATATCATTGTAATATATTATACTTTTCTGCCAAACGCCCGAGCCTGATCTTATTGAAAGATAAAAGACAGCCAGTGGGATGTGGTTATAAGAGGATACGCGCCTTGCGGACACTGCAAATAGACCAAGTCTGCAAGTATATCCCTATGCGCTGGTCTGTTCACTAGCATTCGGCGTCTCGCCGAAGCATTCATTCAAACATAGTAATTCTATTCATCCGAAGCCTCTTCAGGTCATATCGTGGGGTATAGTGCACATCAAAGTCGCTCAGAAATATCATACAAAGGGATGAGGGTCACAAGATCATCCAAAAAGAAAAGGTTGTGGTCACTGCTCTCGCTCGTGAGAATTGGTTGCATCATCAAGTTCATGAGGGGACATCGCCCTCGGCGAAGCTTTCGACAATCCGGGGGAGTCCATGGCCAGCGATGAAGGTGACATAGAGAGGGCCGGGAAAGGCTCAATTTGATTTCCAGACGATCGACGGCCGGGGGATTCGCTGAATGTACTTTTCGGCGTATTAGGCTGTTTATCGTCTTGGGACAAGATACTTATGTGCTGAGATGTGGCCGGCTACGGGTGGGACAGAAGTGGGTCAGTTCCTGTTTGTTCAGATCCCCGGCTGTGTTCATACCTTGTCACCGCCTGTATCCAGACCTCGGCTCAAAGCCAGCTCCTGTGCGGCGAGTCGTCTCCTCGCAATCGCCGCTTCTTCTTCGAGTGCTGCACGCTGCTCTTCTGACTTTAGATCAGCCAATGACGGAGCATCGCCTTGAACGGTGTCATTGTAGCTAGGCGAGCGCTTTGGAGAACGTTTCTTCTTGCGCTTTGTCTTCCTAGACGAATCACCGCCAAGACTAGACGCGGAACCAGACTTGATTTCATACCTGGGTCCCGACTGATCATCTGACTCCAAGCCGGTCCCGCGACGCCCGAAAGCAAGCGCAAACTCATCATCCAAGGGAACGGCATCCTCCTCTTCGTCGCTGGGGAATAGATCACCGCGCGAACTGAGAGAGTTCTCGGTCCCACGGGATGACTGCGTAGCACTTCGATTCCTCCCGTTCGGCGTAGGCGACGGAGGACCCTCATCATCCATAGCTTCCATCAGGGGTTCATCTTCATGCTCATACCGTCGCGCACCGGGGTGTTCCTGCAGATCCGCAGCAGAAGGCCGATACTTGACGCCTCTCGCGCCCAGTCTCCAAGGGAAGCGCTCTAGAAAGCCCAGCAGCGACGAGCTGGGAATCACAGTCGGGTCGGCGCGGTTCTCTGGAATGTGCACGGTGCTCCTACGCCGTGTTTTGCGTGTCCCGTAGCTCATCCGCCTCTGGCGGCGCGGTTGGTCTGCGGGGCCGCGCGCCAGCCCGCTCCCCGCGAGGAGCCGGTCGAGTTCGCCGGTGCCCCAGCCCAGGAGACCGTCTTCTTCGTCGTTGTCCCAATCATCGTAGAAATCAAAGTTCGCTTCGGCTTGGCCGCGTCGTCGTCGCCGGAGGTGGTCTTCGCGACTTGGGAGGCAAGGGGCTGTGCATGCGGTTATGCAATTCCCGATCGAGGTGAAACAAGGGGAGATGTAGTTGTGGGAGAACGTGTAGAGGCCTTCTTGGGCGGTTTCGTTGGCGGTTTCCAGATTATGGGAGATCTGATTGATCCGTTGCCGTATGCGGGGGTCGCGCGTTCGCATCATCTTGGATTAAAGTCGTTGAATCGAGAATCACACCGGCTGTCGCCGGCGACGTTGAAGAGGTGCGTCTACGTACCTAGGTAGCCGATGTCATCTCCGGTTATGTCAGCCGGCACGTGAGAGCCAAGGGTAATGTATCTCGATCTGTTTCTGTTTCTTTTTTTTTGGTTTCTGAAGAGGATTGAGTGGTTTAGTCTACACGATGGTCTACTATGTCCGGTTCCTGAAGACACCCCGGATTCAGCCGCAGAAAGGCGCGCTCTTCATCACCGCTCTGATCTGCATCACCACCGATCTGGGCGATTCATTTCTGGCCGAAGATGTAGAGTTGTCCGTGACCGCCTGGGAACAAAGTGGGATCTCTCATGAAAAGAAGACCACATGGAATGCCTATCATCGTGAACTGCCGATAACTCTCGGCCCTCTCCCGGCTAGTCTGGCCAGACTGGCCGAGAAGACCTTGGTCTTGACAGTCAATTCTGCACGGCCAGAGCCCGAACAGAGCACGAGTACTTCAGAGTCCTTTCCATTGCCATTGGTGATGGGGGCAACGAGCGCACCCTTTGGCCCTCACTCCCCAGCCGACAAGCTTGTGCAGCGACATATCACCGCCTCTGGATTAAGGCTGAATGTGTGGGAAGAGACCGGAAATAGCATTGCCCGGCACATTTGGTAAGCCTCTTAACCCGTGTATAGTATACGGAGGATCCTAGTCATTGATTCTAAACCCGACTGCTTCAGGGATGCGGGATTCGCAAGCGTTATATACATTCACCGGATTCTGTCAGATCTATCGCGTGGAGCCCCAGACAGCAAAGGCAGGTCCCAAATGCCCGCCCTGCACCACGTTCTCACGCGCAACTCGTCCATCCAGGTGGTCGAGCTCGGTGCCGGATGTGGGATCGTGGGCATTGGCTTGGCGCAGATGGTTCCGCACTGTTCGGTCTTACTCACGGATCTCCCCGAGGTCGAGGAGATTATAACGCGCAATATGAATGCTGCCCGGCCAGCCCCCCAGTCCCGCCTTAGGTATCAAAATTTGGACTGGGAGCAGCCCCTGGACCACCTGGGTTCCCTCGACCTGATCCTGGTCTCGGATTGCACCTACAACGCCGACAGCTTGCCCGTGCTGGTCTCTTGTCTGGACCGATTGGTTCAGGCATCCCCAGGTGCTCTTGTTCTGGTGTCGCTGAAGAGACGGCATGACAGCGAAACGGTATTTTTCGATCTCATGCAGACTGCGGGATTTACCTCGGCGCGGGAGCATCTTGCGCTTCCTGCACAACATGAGCAGGTGGATGAGATTGAATTCTACTGTTTTAGCAGATAGTATGTTTTCAGTATAGTATTATAGAGCATAGGATATAAAGTATAGTATAGTATAGGTATAGGTATAGGTATAGTTAAAGGAATAGAACAGTGTGTTGTATCGAAAAGGCCCGTGTCGTAATACGTCATTTCCCGGTCTGGCCCTTATTCTCTTACGCTATACAACTATACTATGTAGCTTTACTATATGGCTATCTAGGTATACGGTAGACTATTCGAGTATATATAGAGTACGGAGTATACTAGATACTTATTATCTTTGGATCCCTCTATGCAATGCTTATGCACCAGTCACATACCAGAGTCATGCACAACTATTATAAAGAGATCAGCCTCGTACCTACAAATTTAAAAAGATGCCTGAAGCTGTGTTATAAGTTACCTAGGTATGTATGCAAGGCCACTAATACGAGTGTCTAGTGAATGTCACAGTCTATTAACCCTAGACTAGCTGAAAAGAGACACGTATGCGCCGACAAAAGTAACGCAAACTGGGAAGTGGGTGAGAACGACCAAAAGTGGCTTTCAGTGTGACATTTTGGGCGTGACACGATGCCGTAAGCAGGTAGCTGGCTGGTGGTGATCATTCCCGACGAGCTACTTTGATCCAACACAATGGCCGCGAATTCCTATATGGTCGCGGATATCAACCTCTTGTCTGAATTTCTCAGCGACAATGAATTACCCGGTATTTCCACAACATCCCCAGTCGACTGCATTGTCATATGCGCCTCAGCCGTTCTGCACAGTGCCGAGGTCCTCTTCAAAACTCTTCAGCAAAGACCGTCTCTTACCAGAGCCCTCGTACTGTGCGGCGGAATTGGACACTCGACTGAGCTCCTTTACAATGCAGTGAAATCTCATCCAGTCTTTTCGCGGATCGTCCATGAGATCCAAGGTCTCCCTGAAGCCAAAGTTCTCGAACGAATTCTAGATGAGTTCTTCGATCGATCTCTCATCACCAAAGAGGGGTGTCAGATTCTGCTTGAACCTGTATCTACGAATTGCGGACAGAATGCTTCATTCTCTCGCAAGGTCCTCGATGAAGCGGGCTTTCGGGCACCAGCCACTTGCATCATCATTCAGGACCCCACGATGATGCTTAGGACCCGAGCATCGTTTGAGAAGGCTTATGAAGGCATCGAATCTCCGGTCTCGGTTATTAGTTGCCCGGTATTTGTGCCGCAGGTGCAATTGTCTCGTAACGGAGTCATTGAATATTCAAACACATCGCCGCCGTCAGAGCTGTGGTCACAAAATCGGTTTATGGAGCTGATCATGGGCGAGATACCGAGGTTGCGGGATGACAAAGATGGTTATGGCCCTCGGGGGCGTGGTTTCATTGCTCATGTGGATGTTCCAAGCCATATTGAGGCAGCTTGGTCTCGACTGCAAGTGGTGGCTAAGAGCTCTAGATAGGGATATGGAGATACCGAGAAAAGGCAGACAGAGACTTGTATGTATTGTATTCATTGGAAGCTACATATTTGACTGCGATAGTATGGGAACCGAGGCATCAATATGCAGATCCCGTTCACGCACCTGCAATGCAAGCGGCATACAATCACCGGATGAGTTCTAGACTAAATTTCTAAGTTGTTTCAAATATTCTTTTCTGGGTTCCCTACTTCATCTACAGCCTGCCCTGTCTGGGGTAGAAAATCTCAAAATTCAATAAGAAAATCACTGTCGATTAATTCAATTCTCATATCTGTTCATAGGTCATTTGTCATGAAGAAATCCCGTCGGAAGAACAGGCGTCGCTGTACCATGGAGAGAAGGAGAAAGAGGCAGGAAAAATCAACACCCTCTTTCTCGCTTTCTGCTCCGTCGCCTGTGCCAATATTTGGCTTCATTACATAATGTCCGCAGGACTTCTCTTGGACAATGAAATGCAGTCAACATGCCAATAACACCAAGAATGCCAACGCCTGTCAGAAATAACAGACCACCAATAAACTCCAAAAGGTCAAGTAAACAAAAAATACCAACAAAATAAGTTGGGGTGGGGCTGAGGACCAGCCCTAACGCCGAGTCATGATGATGTGAAACCCAAAGAAAAGATACGACATAAAGACAAGAGAGGAATGGGAAATTCGTAAATCGAACCGGGGGGTTGCGCACCCGGTTCTTAAAGCCAGCTGCGTAGGTCGCTCGACGGGGTAGTCGGACCAGCAGCTGCACGGTTGTCCGAGAAGTCCAGAGCAAGCTCTAACCTGGGCGGCCGCTCATCGATCAGGCCTTTTCTAGGACTGCCCGGCGCGGACTTCTTGGGGGATTTGGTGGGCGAGCCGGGTTCGCCTGCTCGGGGCGGGCCTTCGCGCACAAAGGTATAAGGCCAGCCATCATCGGCTGCTGCTGCGACCCAGGTTCGCAGGCAATCATGCACAGAAGAATAGAACTTCTCCTTGCAAGTACGCAGACTACCGCCCATGACTTTCTCAAAACCAGAGGCACGGAGCTCATCACGAAGTTGGTTTCGCTCATCAGGGGTGGGCAGCATGGCAATCAAGCCGTTCACAAGATCGAGATGTGCCGCAAGATAGTTGGTCGCATCCCATTCGACACCTCCAACGTATGGGGCAGCTGGAACAGGAGGACGAGGGACTGGAAAGTGACGCTCGTTGTAGGGACGAGCGTCTACTGGTGTCTTTTCGCCGAAAAGGTCCTCCGACTTTGGGAGGGGTATCACATTCAGGTGATGAAGGAAAATCCAGAAGACCTCCTTGGTCACGTTGGTGATCTCCTTACACCACACTCTATAGGGTCGTGATTGGTAGATATTGGCAATGAAAGCCAGCGGCTGATTGTCCACTGGTGGCGCGGGGTCCTTCAGATAAGAAAGGATCTGTTTGGCACGCTTGGACGCCTGTTCACCGGCAGGAGCAGTGGAGAGCTGCGTGAATAGCAGGTTTGCAATGATCCCTCGGGTGGTGAATTCACTGGGGCCCTTCTTTTCCTCATCAAATAGCATATGCAGCAGAGCGGGGAAAAGCTCATGCTCGATAGCAGTGAGGTGTGCCAGGGCGACAGATGTAGTGCACAGAGCCTTCAGACAGAGCAATGCCTCGTGCAAAAGGGTGTCTTCATGGTCCTCGCTGTAGAACGGGTTAGTCGCTGGTCTGAAGACGGAGACAAGATACATACCGCCAGGTCATCTTCATAATGCGGTAGAGAAGCTGCACAATCTCATCCATTCCTCCTTCAGTGATAAAGTCATTGACCCATTGGACGGTTTCGTTACGTAGGAGAAGACGAAGTTTATGCATCTTTCCCACCTCAACCATCTCGGGCTTTTGGATCTCTCTCAGGTAATGCACAAAGTCGGAAGGATCCGCTGCGGTATCGACAGCGGCCGCATCAGCAAGTGATGCTGTTGAAACGTTGGCTGAGAGAGTGGTGTAGACACCAACAGGCTGGGAAAGATCCACAGACCTTGGCCGACGGCTGGATGCCTCACTGTCCCGCCGCAACTTTTTGCCAGGTGACGAGGGGCCCTTAGTGAAGGTGAATCCGCGGCTCCTTGATCGTGATCGAGAGCCTTTGCGATCCTGAGGTTGTGTGTCTTCCTTGGACTCTTTGCCGCGTCCTCGACGACTATCACCGGTTCCCCCGCTGAGAGGAGTGATGTTCTCCGTCCGATCTTTCTGGATAAAATCAGCCTTGATATTGGTGTCAAGTGAGCGCATCTTGTCTCTCATGTTATGAGGAATATTCCTCGCATCCTATAGATAGGTTAGCCTTGCCATTCAAGTTATTTGCATGAAGTATGGTCAACAAACCAGCAGCTTCTCGAACTCGCTTTCGAGATCTTTGGAGTTCAGATGCTGATGCACTTCAGCATCTCGCTCCTTTGCATTGAATGCAGAGATGGCAGCCTGTACACGAGAAAGTCGCTTGGGCTCTTCCTTTGCCATGGCAGGCGGGGATGTCTTTCGTGGACTCGGTGGCCCTCTGCTCTTAGAAGAAGCACTGCCGGATCGCCCAGCAGGATCGCTCTCTCCCGAAGGTGCGCGCTGCAGCCCAAGAATATCCTTCACTTTGCGGTTTCCTGTCATAATGTCTGACTTGGGGCGAGGCTTGGGGTCATTCGATTTGCCAAGGGAGGGCTGGTGGTAGTCATAGAAGTTGCGCTGCTGGCCCGGCCCGTAGCCCTTGGGCGTGTAGAGAGAGACTTCGTCCGCCACGGTTCGCCTCATGTCGGCGGTCGAGTTCGGCCTCGATCGACCGGTCGGCTCTTTGTGAACCGAGGCCGAGTCCTGTGACCAGGCTGGGGATGGCATATTATCGATAAGGTCAGTCGGGCTGCGGTTTTCCTTGTCGCGACTCTGCTTTGAGCCATCCTTTCTTCCACGTTGGGACCTTTTGAGAATGGCCGAGAGACTATTGGATGATTTGGCCTTTTTGGGCGACAGGTCCTCACTCTGCTCGGGCGTCTCCTCCGATCTACCATCCTTCCGCTCCATATAATTTCTCAGAGACTTCAATGAGACCGCACTCTTGGTCTTCTTATGCAGGGCACCTTTGTTTTCCTTGCTGCCTATCTTTGGCGTGGCCATTCCATGGTCACCCGCATCACGATTGGGGACAATCTCACTGAGTGGGCGGTAGCCGGCAATGGAGCCGGGCTCCTCGCTGAATGGGAAAGGGATGTTCTCGGTTGGCCTGCTTCTCTGCACAGGCCGCGGGGCCACGGCATCGTCGGCTGATTGATTTCGTTTATGGGTTTTGGATGACATTATGGCCCGGAACATGGACTGTTTGGTAGGGGATCGGTTCACATCATCGAAGATTTGGGGACCAGAGGTACTCGCAGCCATCGCTATCCTCTTTGACCAGCAACTAAGAACATCTTGTTAGCAGATGAAGTAGATGAGCACCTGTGGAGGGGAACGGGTAGTTGCAGTTCGAACTCACAGGGTCTGTGCAAACAAACGCAGAATATAACAACAACGCGGTCACAAAAAAAGGGTGATAGTCAAGTATATCCCTTCAATTTCA